ATTTACACACGAGCAGCTCATGATCCAGTAGTGTGTGAAGAGTGTCTCGGTATGCAGTATCAACAGTAAATGTTGCTCCTAAAGAACTGCATCTCTGTGTTGTGACTTTGGTTTGCGTATAATGTATATTTGAAAGTTTAACACACGCAAACCATCTTTCCAAATTTGAAATGTGAATCAGTTATAAATCTTTTATCAACAAAAGAGAACGATCTCTCAGCAGTTTTCTGCCTAAATAGTAGCTTGATGGTTTAACATTTAATAGTGTTCTGTAAAAAATATTCTTGAGTCGAACGTGAATGTCTGTGGTTGATTTCACTTTGTGCGTGTGTATTTTGATGGAACGTGAATGTCTGTGGTTGATTTCACTTTGTGAGTGTGTATTTTGATCAAACGTGAATGTCTGTGGTTGATTTCACTTTGTGTGTGTGTGTATTTTGATGCGTCAATAACATGTGGTTTAAGAGTGTTTTTCCAGTCTTTCACATATGATGTTCACAGTCTGACTTCTGCTTACACAGAACAGCTTTGTCACGAAATACACCTCAATGCTGATGTTTTTTTTTTTTAAACAAAACATCACATCAAAATAATATACTATGGAAGCTGAGACCATTTGATATCAAAAGTCACATGCTTTCATGTCTTGCTATAAACAGCGCTAGAGTCAGTAGTTATTTCCATATGAAGCAACAGAAGCTGAAGTCTTTCTTTTTAAGAATAAATACAATGTATGATTTACTGTTGTTGTCATTCAAATTTTCAATGATTAATTACATGTTTTCATCACTTTTGGGAGTAACTGACTAAAAGTTACAATGCTGCTACACATTTTTACTATAATGCAAACTATATCAGTAAACTATCAAAACATTATTCACACATTTTCTTATAGGAGTTATGTCCTTTGTTCTGTGACATATGTTTGGCTCAATATTGCTCATATTTAGAAAATTTAAATAAAGCAAAATTCAATTAAAAAGTTAATAGCATTTTCCTCACAATCTTTTAAAAAAATGCAAATTAAATGGGCGTGGATAGCTGTGCGAAGAAGGGAGGGAGTGTGTGTGGTGGTGGCCATCACGGTCATGCCAATGTCCCATGCATATCGGCTGTCACTAAAAATCAGTGGTAAAATGTGAGGAAATGATAGATTATTTTATATGGCTGGCAAAGTTAAAGTCTTATGAAATACACTGACACTTTATTATTGTCTTTTCAAAAGTATTATATTATTTCAAGTAGTATATTATTCCATTCATATTGGAATAATTATGGAAATGAAAATAAAGTAAAACAATTAAATGACAGAAAAATACAGTATTTCAATTAAATGACATATAACAGGAAAACGATGAAAATTCTCGATGTCACTTTTCTAAATCTCAGCCTCAATATTTCAATTCCAAATTCAATTCCAAAAATAAGAAATAAGAATGTTCAACAAAACAGAAAACAGTTCAGTAAATGAAGAGGGAAAAATCAAATTCTTGTCTTCAGGAAAATCCAGGTAAAGTGAAAAAAATATATGCTATGTTTGTAGTTCTGAAACTTTGTTTCTCACACTCGCCAGGCCAACCAGGAATAGAAAATCCACAGAATTGTTCTGCCATCGAGGCGGTAGATATCAGCAACTAACGTTACGTTACCTCGTTTTACAGACATACTTTGACTTTACAAAGTTCGGAAATGTTACACGTTACACAAACATAGCCACTTAATTTGTATTAACTCACCTTTGACGAAGCAATCACTGCACACGCACATTTTCCCATTCAGCTCCTCCCGACCACAGACATAGGTTTTTGCAAGCGGTTATTTCAGAGTTTTTCGGTCAATTTCTAGCATTTCCCCCCTCATGAACAACAGCTTTTGGTACACGATAAAAACTCGTGGTTTGATCGATTCAAGTAACCATAAACGACGCAAAACACAGGCATTTTGAGTTTGTTATGTTTTCTAAATGCAGCAAATCACTTCCTGCCGTCCATTTGTATTTCGCGCCATGGCAACGCAGTGGCGTGACGTCATATGAAAACAACCAGAGAATTTACATCGAAGGAAAGGGAAAAAATAAATAAAAATAAATACCAAAACAAAAACAAACAAAAAAACACGACCAATGAGAAATATAGATCAAGGAACAAAAGAAAACAAATTTCCAAAGGAAAGATTCGAAAATTTCTCCTATCTCTTGTATGGTTTCTGCACAGTGTGTTCAGTTTTCACAAGGCACTTCTCTGTCGTTCTCTTCCCCTGCGTCCCAATTCGCTTACACGCCCTAAAAGTATGTACTCTTTTTGTGTAGAAAAAGTACATACTTTTGAGTGTGTAGCAAACGAGTAAGAAAGCTTTGTGACATACTATCACAGTGTGACGTCATCTTTAATGGACAGCTGTCGCCGTGCTGCGTGCATCCATAGACAGTAAAAGATGATATTGGAATAAATCCCTCTGTAAATGCCTTCATAATTCCTATACTACTGAAGTGACAATTTCTACAGAGGCAAACAGACGTAGTAAAATAAAGGCCTAAATGTGTATTTCGGAGTTGTTGTTTTTTTTTTCACTGCAAGTCTGAAAGAAGATGTTATTGAAGACAAATATCCCAAAATCTCAAAATTGATGAAAAAACCCCCGATGTTTTCTCCTGCCGTTTCTCGCCTTAATATAAACACACACTGTTATTTTGGACAAAGTTTTGCACTTTCACTTCAATGTACACTGAAGCATGCGTCTGAATTATAATGTGGAAACAGTGGTTGTTACTGCAGTGATATCACGTTCAGTGCTATAAATCTCCCCGTTCCAGAAAATTTGGTTTAACATCAATTTATCAACAAAAGAGAACGATCTCTCAGCAGTTTTCTGCTATATCGGCTATCGCCATAAACCGCCCTGTCATTCAATCAACATCAATCTTTGATTCGGGTGTTTGTGCAACCATGAAAACCGTAAAAATGGATCTTGTGTATTGTTTATATATTTTGTGTGTATGTCTGTGATAGAATTATTATTATTTAGTTATCATTTAACAGTTTTGACATGTTATGTGTGTGTGTGTGTGTATATAGACCATTTCACAAGATGTAAACAACACTGGTCCAGAAGCACTTCCTGTTTCAGTTTGTAACTGTTTTCTTTATTTCACATGTAAAGAAAACATCTTAAAGATGTTTGTTTAACTTTTTTGATTCAGTTTTAAATGTTCTGTTGGTTGTATTTTATCCCAGCTTTTATAACTGAAACAGGAAGTGCTTCTGGACCAGTGTTGTTTACATCTTGTGAAATGGTCTATATACAGTATAGCCTATATACAGTATATCATAATATAAGTCTTGTAATACATTATAATATATAAAATACTACACAAATCTACTCTTGCAATCCATATCAATTGTACTTTGTAACCATAAATTTCATTTCCACCATGGTGGAAATGACTGTGGAGGAAGTGTTTTTTTGTGAGTCAGTTGAAGCTGTGCTGCGATTGGTCGTCACTGCGCCGATGGGCGTGGCTTCTCTGACTGTCGTAGTTCTTCTTGTCAATGACGTCAGAGCTAGAGGTTAACAGGACAACAGAACACATAGGGGCCTATCAAATATTGCGACATATATACAAGTTTTAATCAGTAAAAATGAAACTATATGTGTGTTCTAATTATTTAGTAATGTGAAACAAAGCTTTGCTTTCTGAACTGGATCGTAAAGTTAATTTATAGGTCCATTACCTAAATCTGGTGTATTGGGCCATCTGGTGGACAAAAAGATGAATATTCAGGAATATTACATTTGATTTTTTAATGCCATCCATTTTACATTACTTTGTTGATCACATTTTTAAATTCTTAATTTATCTTATGTTGTTTTTTTATGTTTGTTTAATAAGCAGCAATCCCACAAATACAAATATAAAATATGTGTCACACCAATAAATGACTGTAGAGTTGAACTGAAAACTGAATATTACCTAGTGAACTCCTTTACATCTATAAATCATGTTTAGTGTTAGGATAATACATTTAAAGACCCACGGACCAGCAATGATGAATAAAGACCAGGAGTCAAAGTGCAGTTAATTGAAGATTTTACTTAAGTTTGTAGGCCTCCCTCCCTCTGTATATTAGTTTTCACAGCAATATCTCTTCACCAAGGTTAGATCACCCATGTGCACCTTTGCCCTATTACTAGTACCCATTTGGGACCCAAATGAGCCCATATGAGCATCTAAATCGCCCCGTCTTAGAGCCCATGTTGCCCCATCATGTGTGGGCTAATATACATGTGGGCCCGTAGACAAATTTCTATGGGCCAAATCTGGGTTGTCTATGTTAGGAACCAAGTGATAGTTTGTTAAAACTCACATGTTGGCTGGGTTTCTATGTGGTCATGATTCGTCACTTAATTCTAACAATTCAGCCCTTGATACAAAATCCCTGTATCAAGAGGACTGATATTGCAGTCTCTCATCATTCTCTCCTGTATATTAGATGTGCCATTGTGTAAACATTGTATGATCAAGTCACTTTCCACCTTTGACTGTCTCAGATGCGATCTATTGATGAAAGTGAGTAGTTATAGAGGGCCCCATGTGTCAAAATGATTTATGGCTTTTTTGATTGACAGGTGGGCGGAGCTGGCCTTTGACCTTCCGGATGCCATCTTTGAAGTAGTCATAAAGCGTTGACCTTTGACATACCGTGTCTGGGATATCGATTAACCTTTGACCTAACGATCAATCAAATGGACAGGTGGTGTTGACCGTTGACCTTTTGCGTTCCATCTCTGGAATATCGATTAACCTATGACCTTTCTAATCCAAAAAACATGTGTGTGTGTGAACATCTGTGGTTTTGACCGGATGACCTTTTTTAATCCAAAAAACATGTGTGGGAACATGTGTGGTTTTGTCCCCTTAGTGACCCCAGGAAGCGATCGATCAAAATGGACAGGTTTGACCCCGGTTGTCTGGTTTTATCATTGATGTAGCCCCCCTCCCATACCAGAAAAGTCGTCTATAAAATGGGTGGTCTCTGTTCTACAGAATTCACAGAGGGAAACATGAGTTACATGAGTATGGACGCTTTATCCTTACCTAAAACCCCCGAGATCGATCTGAGTAGCGTGATGATGGATAATTTTCTAATATAGCCCGTATCACAATAGGATCTGTAAAATAAAAGCGGCTTACTTGAGTGCTGATGATTCTCTCACAGTCCTTCGGCCCTGTGACAGTCGGGGTGTGAGATGGCTGAAACATTCCTTCGCCCAGAGAAAAATCTTACACGAGCTAAAAAATGAAACCGTATATTATAGATTATAAGGAAAAAACATTTAGATTTAAATCTGGAAAAGCATCTTACTTCATTTTCATCAAGATGTGAAAAACCTCTCTCCCTCTCAACAGCAGCATCCGTGTGAGCATGTGTGAGCCTGTGTGTGTGTGTCTGTGTGTCTGTAACAGCATTACATTCTTTCATCCTGTGCTGAAACAGAAAAGTTAAAACTTTAACTAAAGTTAAAACCATGGTTCATTTAAAAAGAATATCAATAAAATGCTTAATCATTCATTGTAAAATAAAACAACATGTTTTATAAATTATAAGTTGACTAAGAGTCTATCAAAAATAAAACCATCTTACTTTTTCCAGCTGGTCGACAAAGTAGTTCCTAAGATGTCCATACAATACTTATATGGTTTACAAAAGATGAGTTTAAAGTTGTGAAGATCTCCCTGTGATTCTCTCTCCCCCATGCATGGCCAGAGTGGTGTGTGTGTGTGTGTGTGTGTGTGTGTGTGTGTGTGTGTGTGTGTGTGTGTGTGTGTGTGTGTGTGTGTGTGTGTGTGTGTGTGTCTCTGTGTCATAAATGGCAATAAATTACTTTAGACCTCTCTGAATCCTCTAAGTCAGAGGGACCCTCTCACACTTATTTTCTGTGTGTGTGTGTGTGTGTGTGTGTGTTACATTATACCCCTTCAAGTGAGGACGATATATTTCACACTAAACATTAAGCTCTATATAAATGAAAATAGTTATAAATTTACATCTAGTAATTTACAAAATTATTATTATTTAACACTAACTAGAGTTGAAAAACATTGATCTTCAAAAGTATATAAATGAAATGGTAATAAATGTGCAATTATTAATTTACAAATATAACATTTCACACTAACTGAGTTGAAGTTGAACAACATTGTTCATTTAAAAGTATATCAATTAAATGCTTTTATCGTTCATTTCAAAAATAAGACTAAGATCTTAAGACTAAGATCTCCCACAAGTGATCCTCTCTCCCCCTCGCTTTACAGGCATGCATTGTGTGTGTGTCGGTTCAGCGGAGACATTCCATATGTTTGATTAGTGTTAATCTTACTTCATAGTATAATCATTAAAAGTTTAAATGATATCTTTTAAAAATACCAGATGTTTTAAAATAAATTAAATTAATTCATAAAACAAATATGCTACATCAGCGGTCTATGGAAAAACTTGACTATATTTTTATTTATCAGGGTGCATGTAAAAAATTTGATCTCTCACAAGTCATCTCACACATTGTGTGAAATGTTCAATAATTCCTTAAGTAGTATCTCTGCGAAAATCACCACATAGGTCTATCTTTAGTGCGAGAGCACCAATGAAGACATTTTAGAAACTGTGATGCCAAAGGCCGGTCACCCATTAGCTTCAGGATAGTGACAGAGCAGATGAGTCTCTGTGCATCGCCGAGTCAAAGTTTTGTTCGTACTAGAATTATTTCGAATCATAATCGTAAAAGTTTCAAGCTTTTAAAATGAAAAGATTGTTCAAATTAAATCTTTATAGTTTTAATACATTCATATCTTCTATTTATTTTAAAGATTACTCTAATGATTTTGTTTAATGCCGACCTAAAAGTATTTTTATTTATATAGCCATAACAATTTTTGTACTGTAACAGCGTATTCTATATCATACACCTAAAACACTACCGTCAGAGAAAACTGGATTTTTACATTTTCAATAAATAATTGAATATAATTTATAATAAAGCTGTTTTGCACTCACAAAGCATAAAATCTCTATTTTTAAATCAAATGATTATAAATAAAATGATATATAACTCTATAATGAATAATAACACATATGCTACTAAAATGTATTTGTACAAATTAAACATAGTTTTATCTAAAGAATATATCAATTACATGTATAATTACAAAAACTCCTTCTATTCAAACTAGATCTAGGCAATGATAAAGACTATCCAAAAAGCAAATAGTTTAAGCTGTCATAAAAAAGACCTCTCATATCCGTTAGTGATAGGGTGAGATGAAGGTTCAGACCCTCACAGAGACGGAGGAGTTACGGGCCAGATGAGCCACTGGGCCACAATTATGTCATGTTATTCTAAATTTTTATTCTAAATTCACTTAAAAGCATAATCTTAAAAGTTTCAATTAGATCTTTTAAAATTAAAAGACTGTTTAAAGTTTTTATTAAAGTCCTATCATCTGTTTATCTTACAAAACTTCTGTATGATATAAATGGGTTTGCATAAATTTAACCAAAGGTATTATTTATACTAAAATGTAAGAAAAATTAATTATTTCTACTAAATATTTCAAACATTATTTTTGTCCATGCCACATGAAACAAGTTGTCAAAGTTTGTTTTTGTTGTTTTAAAAGAAATCACACGACTCTACGTTGCACTTATTTAGATTAAGCTGTATCATTTAGAAAATCACCACACATTTTCAGAGGCGCAGTGTTGTCCATGATGCTCCATAAGTAAAGTTGGTCTTGACCGAATATTTAATTTACACATCTTAATTCAAAGCATGATCTTACTTTTTCTACGGTAGCTATGACCATTTGTACGTATAAGATATATCATTTTTACTTTTCTTGTATCTCCCAAACTATCCTTATTCATTGTGGAAACAAGTGAAACCCTTCACTGAGAATATACGGTTATCGGTTATCTACACAAAATATATGTAGAATTTTCAAATGTCAGCTTTTTGGTGTTGACGACATGAACAGACTTTGTGGAGAGCCGATGATTCTATAGCAGAAACATGCCCTTTGACCTCCTCCATTTTGGAGGCTTTTTGTTAAAGACCCTACAGCTTCGTCCTTAAAAGGCACGCCGTGTAGGAATTTCACCCATCTAGCGGTGAAATTTTATTTGCCATTCAAACGCATAGTACTCTCTAGCGCCGCGCTTTTTTAAATGCGTGTTGTGATTACGGCGACCGTTATGTGCCAAGAAGCTAGGACATGTCGTCCAATAGCACTTTTTCGAGTTTAACTATACACATTCTACAGTTACGCCGTCTATATAATGAATTACACAACCACGGAATGAAAAAGCTTGTAATTTAGACCATTGACTTAACTGTCGATAAGAAAGCAGGACTTCAACGTTCTGTTCAAAGTCTTTCTCCTTCATTACCTCTATCCACCTGGGAAAAGCGGTCCCGACATTTACCCTTGTTTTTAAATTTGCCGGTCACCCTTCCTTTTAGATTCAATTTTTAAGCATTATCATGGCGATGAGGATTGCATTATGAAGTATCGTGCAGCAGTGCAGCCTTTCAAGCGCCTCTCACTGACCTCCTTGCGTCCGTTTCAGTCAGCCGGCTCTCAATGAAAACGCGTTGCGGTGGACTAGTGCTTTTTGTCCCTCTCCGTTATTATAGTTTTTCAAGATGGGGGAACGACACGGCAGCCTCTGTGACTCACCCGTCAGAGCTAATTTTACACCAATGAGATCATATTTATAGACATTGATTTTAGCTAATGAAATACGTTTTAAAAAATATTTAATTCCCCTTAAAAAGATAAAGTTTAATGACACTAGCTTGCAACGTTCCCCAAAAAATCAAATACTCTTTACGATTTGTATTACACTTTTAAAGGATAATCTTACTTTAAAGTTTTAACAAAAATGTAAAAGCACATATTTGCTGTTTTCTGACACAAGATCTTTTGTGAATAGTATTAAGATGGAGTAAATTATTGTAGTGTCTTGTTCTGTTTGTATGGTGTTATCGCCTATATGTTTGAGAAACTGTCTAAACTTTGTTCTCTCGAACTTAATTTACCGACGGGTACAAATAAACCAACCAACCAACCAACCAACCAAGACCATTAACCGGTTCTTTTTTCTTTTATAAATTGACTTTCTACAAATATCAGCATGATAAAAATGGACGATGATACAAGATAGTGTTGTGTTTAAAACCATGATAACATTTTCTTTGTTTTGACAAACCTACAGAAATGCCTTTTGATTACTAAGTGTCAGGCAAAGTGCAAACAGACAATGTTTGAGAGCCCTAATATTGGCGTAATCTCTGCGAGGTCTCAACCACAATCGCAAAACTTTGTGGTTCGGTGATACGGTCATAGCTTTACTAAAATAAAATTTTATCAAAATGTAATATATTATGGTTTGTTATCGACTAATACCTTTTATTTTTAACTAACGCTTCAATATCCAGCATAATTTTGTTCAAAATTGTTTTCTGACCCAAAATAATCAGATAAGGGAATGTTCACAAGCTACAGTTAGATGTTCTCCTCCATAGTGTGTGTGTGTGTGTGTGTGTAAATAGTGGCGCTTAAATGTTTGGCTGTATTTTTTCACATCGTAGCGATGCAAAGTACCATACTCAAGCCTATGGTCTCACTTTAAAAACATAATCTTTATACAGTAATTGAACGGGCCCAAATCACCAAGAAACCAGGGTTGAAAAGCACCGTTTATAATAAATATACAAAATTCACAAATGATGACTATTCAGATAGCTAGCAGATGTCTTTGTATGTTGGACAGTGTGTCTGTTTTAGGCGAAAACATTTCTTTGAGAACCGTCAACATTCATTCAACATTAATTTAAGTGTTTGACTAAACTTTCCCTCTATCTACGATGCACAAACTATTGTAAACTACTGTTAATATAAGCAAGTATTACTTACTTAAGTTACTTATAAGTAAGTTTTAACGTGAAAAGTAAGCCCATGCTGTTTTACACTTAAACTATTACATCTGACTATTGCACTGAGAGAGGCCCATTCATTAAGTTTGGTAATTCTAGAGATCAGCCCGCTTCCATTTAAAACAAATACGCTTGTGATCATTTTTTATGTTTGTAATTGATTATGCCGTTTACATCTTGCTCCTTTGTACGGTTTGCAAAAACATGAGATATTTCGTTTAGAACATCTTTCAGCTAAGTCTACGAAACATTGACATGAAAGCTGAGTATTGCGGCTTTTCTGTTACCTACAAAAATATTAAACTCGTCTAGCTATTGTCCGTTGCACTGCACAGTCATAGATGCGCAGTTATTTTGTGTATGCGGCTAAACAACGGTTCAGCCGGTTAAACAACGTGAAAGGCGGGAGGATTCATTTTTATTCCGTCTACACCGATACTTGGATACTTGGCCAAAAGAGTTTTTGGCCTCATCACCAAAATGTTCAAATGGTGTGACATGCATGACGGATACAACAAAGTCAAAGTGCAGCTGTTACACCCCGAGAGATGCGCGCGCAGTAGCTCCTTTACCAGACCATCTGCCCCCATTCACTACGGTCATCCTAAATCTCTGCTGTCAGACCCTCGCAAACGTCTTTACAAGCCGTGGAAGAAATGAAAGACCGACTCCTCCCCCTCTTCTACAGATAAATTCCGGCAACCAGACCCCTCTCAAGCGCCATTTATAAACCATGGCTGAAGTCAACGGTACAGAACCCGATCATGTGAGCAGCTTTGTTGATGATACCCACGGTCCATCGGACCATCACAAAGACTGGGCTCCGGTCAAAACTACCAGACGTCGCGTAGCCTTGGCACCATGCTTTGAAAACGATTGTGCTCCGGCTAACAGACCTATCAGACCTCGAAAACAACTGGGTCGAGCTAAAACTATCAACCGTCGCTTAGACTTGGGTCCGTTCATCGAGTGCGACTGCGGATGCACTAAACCTTCATCACCACCACCACCCAGCGAAAAACCTTGAAACTCGCAACCTGACTTACCTCTCCAATCCCCGCAAAGACTTGGAATCGTACGACACACCTAAAATCATCCGCATCGTGTGGACAACCCCGCAAGGAAATCATCTGCGACGTCATCGACCTTTGGCAAGGTCTTCCGATCGTCAATGGCGAGTGACCAAGCCAGTTCCAACATGGGTGGAGCCTGTAGCCTAAAGTCCTGTATGGAATTCATGTTTAAAGACCATTACAGAATCCAGATGACCGATCTAATGAATAAGATGATTATGGACGCATCCCACCCCGATACTCCGTGTTATGACACTGTGCGTCATGCAAATCTCAAGAAAAATATGGCTCTTATTAGAGGACTGTCTAATTCATGGGGTGATTTGACGGACAAATGTGTTAACGGTGACAATCCACCCGGTGATTTGATAAAAGAGGTTCTAGATATGATCTGTGAACCACAACGCCTGCTAGGGGTCACCGATATGTTGTGTACTTGTACTTATGTGGCCGATGTCTGTACAGAACTGGTAAAGAAATCTAAAGAATATGACTCTGATGATGATGATGATGTAATCAAAATTGCAGAAGCTATTGAAAACGTCGACAAAATTGTTGTAATGTATGTTAATTACATCCTAGATCGTGACATGATGACCTGCCGTGACTTTCTTTTCTGGTTAGATTACCACTGACATCATTATTACTACCCATTTTTCTGTTTTGTTTTTGTTTTTTTTTTGTTTTGTTTTTTTACTTATATTCAATTTACTTAGATTTAGTTTGTTGTATAAATATAATTTTATTCAATTTACTTAGATTTTAGTTTGTTGAATAAATATCATTTTATTTAATGTGCTTAGTGTCTGTTTTATTATATCCATTTGACTTAGTATCTGATTTATACTATGCATGTTTACTATGAATCCTATAGAAACCAAGTTATGAGCTTATGAGCTCCGACATGACCACAAAATATTTTTTTATTTCAACATAGTGAATTAAAACAATAACGACATTTACAGGTGATCGAGCGACAATAAAAAGTTGCGGCACGCAATCAGGTTTTTCTCTAGGGCATAGTTCACCATACTTTGAACTATGTCATTCACATCTGTTTTGACATTTTTTGACAACAGTGACGCACAGAGATCTGTTACAAACGTACACATACAGAGTAGTTCGACAAATTCAAATTCCTCACAAGATTCATGCATCACATCCAGAACTTTTCTGAGGATTACGCCGACCGGTTCTTTGCCGTTTACAAACATGGGCGTAACATCTGTCCAAGTTTGAACCAACCCTCTTATGTCATCCATTTCTTTTTTGAGATTTTTCACACGTTTGGTATCCCTCGTGCAATCGTTGTTGTCATCACAGGCAGCTTCGATCATCCTGTGCATCAAGCTAACCATCGGGCCTCTAAAATGATCTTTAAACATAGAGTCTTGTATAGCTCTTAAACGACAGTCTTTTCCCGTGCCGCACTCACACGCCGGATGACGCAGTCCCCCCGTTACGACAGAACTCGACGGGGAGTCGCTCTCAGTCAGCTTTTGCGTCGCCATTTCTGAAGTTGTTGGATTTTTCGGTCCCCTATTTGATGATGAAAGTCCTTACAGCACAATCGCCCTTGTACGTTGACAAACTTTTTGGGTCAGAAGCGTGAAAAAGCGTGGTTCACGTCAGAAAAAACAGGAAGGTTGAAGCCGACTTTGACATTCTGTATTACAACAGACAATGCTCCTTCGACTTTTGATCAATGAGATGTAGCAGCGGCAAACCAGTCCGCGACTATTAGAGCTAGGGCCCCTTCAGTTAGGAAAACTGGCGTTGTGTATGACTGAGGCTGAGCTCTCTGTAGAGTTTATCAGCCCTGCGATTGTGGTCCCCCCTCACTCCCGCTGGAGGGGGTTGTATAGGGGTGTCGTCGTCATGATGTCGTAAATGACTATATAGGATTAAAGCCTCATGGAATCAGAAGTCATGGAGACGTTATGCATATGCCGCCAGAGAGAATTCTATGAATTACACCAAAATATATAAATATTTTATATTTTAGAAAGAAGCTAGGACATATTTTATCTTGCTTTCAGTTAACTTTTACCCCCTATTGAGAAGTTCCGTTAAAATTAAAACGAGTTGAAATTAAAAACGTGACATCAATATTGCGTAAAACTTTTGTAATTTTGTAAATGTACTTTATTTTGTTGTATGCCTGGATTTTGAGGGTAACCGACAAAAAGATGTCTTCATTGTTTGTTTTGCTGAATTTTTAAAAAACATAGATCTACATACAGTAGATGATCTACACATATTTCAGAGATCCTTGTGCGGTATTTTAGGGTTAACATTTATGCGCTATTTAAAAACTAGGATGGTTTAAACCATCATTTTATTAAATCAAGCCAATTCATGTGAATAGTGTTGTATATGAAAAGAGAAGACCTAGAGTTCACTAACATTATAGCTCACGGTAGGAGACGGATATCCATGGGGTGATAGTGTAACAACCAGATGAAATGAAACGGTGGTAAACAATTGTAGAACACTAGCGGTTCAATGTTCAATATAAACAAGAATCCGACTCTAATGCGACTGAGCGTGTTTCACGTATAACTGTTGATAGTTAGATATAATTTATCTAGCAAGTGATATTTATGATACGTTAAGACATTTTGGTGATGAGGCCAAAAACTCTTGTGTCCAAGTATCCAAGTATCGGTGTAGACGGAATAAAAAATGAATCCTCCCGCCTTTCACGTTGTTTAACCGGCTGAACCGTTGTTTAGCCGCATACACAAAATAACTGCGCATCTATGACTGTGCAGTGCAACGGACAATAGCTAGACGAGTTTAATATTTTTGTAGGTAACAGAAAAGCCGCAATACTCAGCTTTCATGTCAATGTTTCGTAGACTTAGCTGAAAGATGTTCTAAACGAAATATCTCATGTTTTTGCAAACTGTACAAAGGAGCAAGGTGTAAACGGCATAATCAATTACAAACATAAAAAATGATCACAAGCGTATTTGTTTTAAATGGAAGCGGGCTGATCTCTAGAATTACCAAACTTAATAAATGGGCCTCTCTCAGTGCAATAGTCAGATGTAATAGTTTAAGTGTAACACAGCATGGGCTTACTTTTCACGTTAAAACTTACTTATAAGTAACTTAAGTAAGTAATACTTGCTTATATTAACAGTAGTTTACAATAGTCTGTGCATCGTAGATAGAGGGAAAGTTTAGTCAAACAGAGTGCAAACACTTAAATTAATGTTGAATGAATGTTGACGGTTCTCAAAGAAATGTTTTCGCCTAAAACAGACACACTGTCCAACATACAAAGACATCTGCTAGCTATCTGAATAGTCATCATTTGTGAATTTTGTATATTTATTATAAACGGTGCTTTTCAACCCTGGTTTCTTGGTGATTTGGGCCCGTTCAATTACTGTATAAAGAATATGTTTTTTAAAGTGAGACCATAGGCTAGAGTATGGTACTTTGCATCGCTACGATGTGAAAAAATACAGCCAAACATTTAAGCGCTACTATTTACACACACACACTATGGAGGAGAATATCTAACTGTAGCTTGTGAACATTCCCTTATCTGATTATTTTGGGTCAGAAAACAATTTTGAACAAAATTATGCTGGATATTGAAGCGTTAGTTAAAAATAAAAGGTATTAGTCGATAACAAACCATAATGTATTACATTTTGATAAAATTTTATTTTAGTAAAGCTATGACCGTATCACCCACCACAAAGTTTTGCGATTGTGGTTGAGACCTCGCAGAGATTACGCCAATATTAGGGCTCTCAAACATTGTCTGTTTGCACTATGCCTGACACTTAGTAATCAAAAGGCATTTCTGTAGGTTTGTCAAAACAAAGAAAATGTTATCATGGTTTTAAACACAACACTATCTTGTATCATCTTGTACTAAGTCCATTTTTATCAGGCTGATATTGGTAGAAAGTCAATTTATAAAAGAAAAAAGAACCGGTTAATGGTCTTGGTTGGTTGGTTGTTTTATTTGTACCCGTCGGTAAATTAAGTTCGAGAGAACAAAGTTTAGGCAGTTTCTCAAACATATAGGCGATAACACCATACAAACAGAACAAGACACTACAATAATTTACTCCATCTTAATACTATTCACAAAAGGTCTTGTGTCAGAAAACAGCAAATATGTGCTTTTACATTTTTGTTAAAACTTTAAAGTAAGATTATCCTTTAAAAGTGTAATACAAATCGTAAAGAGTATTTGATTTTTGGGGAACGTTGCAAGCTAGTGTCATTAAACTTTATCTTTTTAAGGGGAATTAAATATTTTTTAAAAACGTTGTACAAATGGAACTGTACTGCGCTAATTACTTTTACGATGCTAATCGTTTCAGAGGGTCGATCACCACCTTTCGATGTCCAATGACTATGAGAGTAATGAAGATAAAGCAGTTGAACTAAATTGTACCTTTTACTCTGAATATTGTTGAACAATAAAATACACTGTGTACATATTCACCATCAAAAGGTATTCAAATGTAAAGAAAATGTACATATGAAAATAAAACGTAGGCCTACACAAAATAATAAACAGAAATAAACAATGAGTTGTTTCAACAGATTCAAGGATACAGATGACAGTTGGTCCTGTGATTAGGCAGTGAAACAAAGATTGGAACAGTCCGTGTGGTCTCTACAGTTCTTTAAAGTGTCCAAAAGGCTTTGTGACGTTGATGTTGAGATGCAGTCTCAGGCCCTGAAGTATGGTAAATCCTCAGCGACGATAAATTCCAGTGTATAATCTAAGATGTTACTGAATATTTATCTCGCTGATGTATGACTCTCAAACGTGGTTCTACAATAAACAAATAATGTAATCAGCAACATAAACTGTATAGATGTGCAATTAACACGACAGAAATGCTGAAACATTACAGCTCTATATAATGGATGATCACATCTGTCACTATTAACATAATATTTCCCACAATCAGGTAACTGCACTCTCATTTAACATAAAATATAATGTAGCAGCCGTACATAAAGGCAAACAGTGAATAAGTGACCATTAAATAATAATATAAATGTAACTCACAATCTTCAATGACGCACATTCAGGAATCGTCACCATGGAAACTTCAGTGCAAAGTTTAATATCGTCCACTGCCGATCAAGAGCACAAATATCCTATTCTGCAGTTCACAAAGTGAAGGCGCTGCAGAAAGTGATGTTAATCTATCTTATTTCACTGCTTTAAAGGTAAGATTGCAGGACCTAAACTTTCCCTCAGGATCCGAACCGAAGAAATATGATCTGCTTTCGCGCGAACTCAGATTAAACCACACCCCCTCATATTCAAATCAATGACCAACATGACAGCTGCACAGCCTTTATAATAAGTGAACAAAAACTGAACATGGGCTTTTTTACAGCCGCCCCCAAATTTGGTAGACAAATTTGTCTGTAGTAAAATCTACTACTGCATATCATCTGAGCCCTGCGGTAAAGCGGGTAATCTAATCAATCGAGCAACTGGTCGGGTGTAAGTATGATCTTTCACTTTAACAACAGCAGTTCTAACTCTACCATCAGAGCTAGGAATGATGGAGGAAACAGTACCCACTCGCCAGAGCGCTCTCGGTAATTGCTCATCAGCTATAAGGACTACAGTTCCAACTGTAATGTTCTCTCTCTCTTGATTCCATTTCTGACGTGTCTGTAAAGTAGGCAGAAAATCATGCACGAAATGCTTCCAGAAGTGATCACTGAGAATCTGGCTGTGTCTCCACCTCTTCCGACTGAGCAGGTCAGACTCAGGATAGACCACTTGAGGTAACGAGGAGTCAGGCCGCCCCATCAGCAATGAATTCGGAGTCACAGGATCTGGGTCGGCCACATCACTGGAGACATAACCCAAAGGTCTTGAATTTAAAATTCCTTCAATCTCTACTAAGACCGTCCTCAATACCTCTTCAGTGACAACCTGAGCACCCAGTGTGGTCCGTAGGGCTGTTTTCACAGACCTCACTTCTCTTTCCCAGGATCCCCCAAAGTGAGGAGCACTGGGAGGATTAAAACGGAACCTGATCTGTTCTTTGGAGAGTGTTTCTCTGAGAGTGGGTTGTATTTGACTGAAGACTTCTTCCAATTCACGACTCCCCCCTCTGAAATTGGTTCCCTGATCAGATAGAAGCTCGTATGGCTTTCCCCTACGTGAAATAAAGCGTCTAAGGGACATCAAGAATGAATCAGTGTCCATATGATCCAGTAGATCGAGGTGAACCGCTCGAGTGGTGAGACATTTATAGAGGATACCCCACCTTTTCTCTGTACGACGGCCTACTTTAATTGTAAAGGGACCAAAGCAATCAACCCCAGTGGAATAAAAGGGAGGTTTGAATAACCTAAGGCTGGAAGGTGGAATGTCTGCCATCCTTGGAATTTCTGGTCGACCCCTCCACTTCTGGCACTCAGGGCAGCTACGCTGATGTTTCTTAACTGCCTCTCTCCCTCTTAGAATCCAAAACTTTCGCCGTAGCTCGGCAAACACCCGTCCAGGTCCAGGGTGAAGTAGTTTGGCGTCATAGTGCTTAATGAGGAGTTTCACCACTGGATGAGTCGGGGATAAAACCACAGGATGTAGAACTTCTTTGGCCAGGCTGTCACATCTTCTAAGTCTACCACCCACTCTAATCAGATTGGAATCTTTGTCATACTCAGGTGTAAGTCCTACCAGCCGACTGCTGGTTGAGAGAGTCTTTCCTTCCTTAAGCGAGGTAAATTCTTCAGGGAAGTCTTGCATTTGACAATGCCTCAGAAGAGTCAATTCTGCATCATGAAATCCATCTGCATCTGGTGGTTCTTTACTGCCAGCCGCCCCATGCAGGGACTGCACTGTGGCTTCTAGAAGCTCTTGATAACTATTGAACTGATGGGAATCTGGAATGGCAGGTATTGCAGTCTCTTTAAGCAACCCACTGAATACAGGTTTCTTGAGCTCTTGACTATCGTCAAGGATTTGACCCTCGGGTGCCTTTGGCCAATTGCAGCTGGGTTGCATCAAGAAGGCTGGACCCTGGCTCCAGCGAGTGTCTTGAGCCAGTTGAGTCAGTGCCAAACCTCGTGTGATGTCATCAGCAGGATTATTCGAAGAATCGACATACCGCCAGGATTCTGGGTCAGACAACTCTTGTATTTCACAGACTCTAACTCCGACAAATACTTTGTACCTGCAAGAATCAGATTGCAGCCACGCGAGGACTGTGGTAGAATCTGACCAATACACAAAGTTGTGGATGTCTAAAGTCAGCTCTTTCTTCAAAACAGCACCCAGCTGTGCTCCTGTCATTGCAGCACAAAGTTCTAAGCGTGCGATTGAGAGCTGCTTCTTTGGAGCGACTCTGGATCTTGCGGCCAAAAAGGCTACCGTGATGTTGTTCTGATCGTCTTCAGTCCTCAAGTAGGCAACAGAGCCATAGGCTCTCTCAGACGCATCGCAGAATACATGAATGCTGCGACTTTTGATTGCATCCTGACTGTTGGAGCTGTAACATCTGGGCTGAGAGATCTCTGATAACTGATGGAGCTCATTCTCCCACTGTTGCCAAGCACCCAGTAATTCAGCAGGGAGGCAAGGGTCATCCCAGCCTCGTTTCTTGCCCCAGAGCAATTGCACAATGATCTTAGCCCTTGTGGTGAAAGGGATCAGATACCCAAGGGGATCGTATTGCTTTGCAAGTGTGCGATAGATCTTACGCATGGTGGTTTCACCTTCCTCTTTCTGGTATGGTTTGTATGCCAAAGTATCAGATTTGCAGTGCCATATCAGTCCGAGGGTTCGCTCTTGAGGATTGGCTGTTTCTTGGTTAATCCAGATCTCACTGCTCTTTGATTTTAGCTCAGACGGAATGTGTTTAATGACTGTAGGAACATTACTGGCCCACTGACGCAACTCGAATCCACCCTCCATTAGTTGATGCTGTAGTCTGTGTACTAGTTTCTTGGCCTGTTCTTCGGTTGGTACACTCTTTAGACAGTTGTCTACATAGAAACTGTGTTCAACAGTTTGAAGCACATCATCTGTTGGTTCAAGGTAGTTCCTTACTTGCGACTGAAGGGCAAATGTAGCGCAACAGGGGCTACAAGTGGTTCCAAAGGGCAAAACTTCCCACTGATAGATTGTTGGAGGCTCAGCAGTATTGCCATTACGCCACAGAAATCTGAGGAATGGCTTGTCTTCATCAAGGAGGCGGACTTGATGAAACATGCCCCGCACATCACTGCAAACAGCTACAGGGTGTTCCCTGAAACGGAGGAGAACTCCCAACAAGCTTGCACCGAGAGTAGGCCCGGGTAAGAGATACTCATTCAGAGACTGGCCTTGGAACTCGAAGGAGCAATTGAATACGATACGATCCTTCCCATTATGATGGACCATATGATGTGGTATGTACCACGAATGAGGACTCAATTCACACTCCTTGGATGATAGCGGGGTGACATAGCCTGCCTGCAGCAACTTCTGGATTTCAGCATCATAAGTGACTGCCCTTTGTGGCTCTCTGGACAACCGTCTCTCCGTACTACATAGAAGAGCCAGGACAGCTTCCTTTGGCGCATTCAATGGGGGAAGTGACTCTTTCCAGAGTAATGGTGTAGCATATCGGTTGACTCCATCCACATTAATCCTAATGGTCTTTTCTTCCAGAATACGGAGGGCTTCTGAATCTTGACGCGAGCGTGTGACTACCTTATCTGATCGATAAGGTAAAATGTCCAGTTTCCAAAGTCTTTCAACCTGGTTAAAAAGCTCAGAATCAGGTGTCACACAAGAAACAAAGAGACATTCTTGCGGCTGAAGGCGAGGACGAAAGAACCTTGATGGACCTTGCAATGTCCACCCAAGCCTTGTATGCACAGCGGCTGGTCCTCCTTTGGGTCCCAATATCACTGGCTCTACAGGTGTGATCAAATGTGGATAGTCTGAACCGATAAGCACTAATGGTTGTGCTTGGTTGATTTCGTCCAAGGGCAGATCTCTAAGATAGCGATACTTTCGCTGCAGGTCAGTAATGGGGTAAGTATGCTGAACAAGACCTAGGTCCTTGGCTGTAAAAGCTCCATGAATTTGGAATGATCTGTCTGGTTGCGAAGCTGGAGCTATAGAGAAGGACACCGAACTTCCTCGTATGGTGTGAACCTCATGCCTCACAGTACGAAGGGCTAGATCTTCAACTGTACCTTGAAGACCTAAACGTTGAGCAGCCTCATGGAGCAGAATCGTTCGCTCGGAGCCATCGTCCAGTACCGCGTAGGTCTCTAACGACTTGTCTCCATTCTGAATCACAACTCGACTCAGTTTAAGTAACACTTGCTTTCCGCTTGTGGGACGGTCCAGATACAAGGTCTGGGAAGTGGAGCTCATGGGACCTGTGCTCTCTGACTGTCTGCTGTTGTCTTTCCCACCTGAATCTGAGCTGGCATTAACATCATGGAGAACTTCAAGATGTTTCCTATCACATTTCTTGCACTTCGCTTTCAACGTACACTTTGAGGTCTGATGATTTCGGCCACATCTCCAGCATCTACGGCCAGTTTTGATCCAATTCTCAACCTGCTCCTTAGTCAAGAGCTTAAAGTTTGAGCACTGATTCATGTAATGCTGGATGGTATTGCAAAACGGACAATATTTCTTAGGCTTCTCCTGCATCCTATCTGAGAACACTGACCCTGTGTTTGAGTTATCTACTGACTCTCCCTTATGCTCTCCTCCATGCAGAACAGTAGTCAGCTTTCGAGGTGAGAAACCATGCTTCTTATCTTTGCGGGGGCCATGCTTCTCATAATCAGGGTAAGTACCGTACTGGGTTCCATCCACCTGCACTCGAACCTCATATTCAAGCCAATCAGCCAAGTCAAGCAGAGTAGGAATCGGAGTCTGAAGAGGGTTAACAAATCTCTTAAAGTTGGCTCTTAGGTCATATGGTAACTTAGCTAAGAGGCGGGATACATGAGAACCGCACTTCAACTCGGTCCAACCTGGGCTACCCAACTGATTCAACATTCCCACTAATGCCCGCACACGAAGAGCGAATCCTTTGAATGCCTTCACATCACCACTCTTTATTGTGGGTCCATCCATCAAAGTAGTGATCCGCTGCAATGCCAGCTGATGCGGTTGACCATACATGTCCGTTAGGGCTCGCATAGTGTCACTAAAGGGAGAACGACTGTGACTGTAAGAATCTGCGACAAGTAAAGCATCTTCCAATTTCAAATGATCCATTAGTATTTGAAACTTAAAAGATTCAGAAGCGTCGGCGGGCAGTACATTGTCTAAAGCGAGCTTAAGTCTGGCGAATTCCCGTGGATCATCATGAATGAAATTTGGGATTGTTGGTGTAGGCCCACGATATTGCACTGGCAGCGGGTACAAGGGACGGTTAAGATCTTGATCCAAAATTGGATATGAACGATCAGGCGAATACAGCCGTCCGTTGCTATGATAGTGTTCAGTTCTAGGATCACGTTGAAATTGAAGACTAGAACGGTCAGCTAAGGCAGTTTCTTGCAAAGTGTGCACTCGGCCCCCATAGTATGGATCCTGAAGATTTCGAATGGGCCGATACTCTGAATGCGAATGACAAGCATGTGCCTCTGCAGGAGAACGACTGAAAACTCGAGGGGGGGGGTTTGGCGAATTGGGCTGCAACAACATGGTATCATCGTACTGCCAATAAGGCGGATTGGACTGACTCTGCTGCTGGTCACGAACATAAGCAGCTCGATCAGGAACATGTTGCGGTAAGTCATTCACATTATGAGGAGGTTCAGT